TATATTTTTGGATTATTTGATGTTATATTTACTTGCATCACTTTTTGGATTGGGAACCATTGTCAAGATATGGTTTCGGATTTATACACCATTATCAAGATATGGGGACATATTATGGATAAGCTGGCTAATAAGTTTAGTCTCATTCTTCGTGTCAGATCACGGATTCATATGTGGATGACATGCCATTGAAAGACTATGGCGGATAGTTTATTTTATGTTTTGGATAGGCTATGGATTTATATGTATGAATATGTGCCATAATATGAGCTTGAGGTCTCAGGATCAGTGGTTAGGGAGCGTATATTACCTTAGGGATGCATACGTGGATATAGTGGATTGTTGTGTCCCCTGGTAGATGATAATACTCATGCCCACTATGTGTGCATTTTGCATATTGCCTACTATCCGATTGAGCCCACCCAATAGTCTAGTGAGAGTCCTTTAGTGTGTATTTATATGTATATACGGACTACGTAGTTATTGTATAAGTTGACTAGGATGTATTCGTGTATCGAGTCTCTGTTTGAGATGTAGTAGAAAGGACTTGTTATTGGGCCTGGCCCAATATTATTTTTCAAGTGTTTGTCAGTATCAGGCGTAAAGATTATTCGTGTTGAGCAGAGACCAATCTCTATCACTCTTCTGATTATCTACGTAAGATTCTACTTTATGTTTCAATCTTTAATTTAGACATTTATTTTAGTTATTATTTTTAGTTGGGATTTTTATTATGGGTCCACATTATGGATTCCTGAGTTGTATTGGTATCAGAGGAGTTGGATATTTTATATTAAGGAGATTATTATTATTAGAATTTTATTCTTGAAGGATTTAATCAATTAATTATTATTTTAGCTTTCTTTTTGGCTTTATTTATTTATTCTTTATATATGTTTTGTAATCTGTATTCTTTAATTACTTTAATTGTTTTTATATCCCCTAGTTTTGGACATGGACTTGATTAACCCATGGCTTTAGAATTAGGGGTATCACATTTTGTTATCTTTTGGGATATAATTACATAGACAATGGAATCATGTAATTTAACTTTATCCTTTTGTTCGCTTCAAGTGAAGCTTTTGTAATCATGACCATGGAGGCCTTATTGTTTTGTAAATCTATTCTTTTGGATAATGAGTATTCTTTTGGGATATGTATGTAATGGATCATGGAAGTTTTCAATCTTTAAATGATGAATCAAGGAATTATTTTTTATGATTATATGCTATTTTTGATAAGTTAGATGATGTTTAGAGGCTTATATTTTTGTAATTATTGAGTTTAGGAACCATATGGATGGATTGGGAAGTGATCTAATTGATCACATTGATTTCGTGCATGATCTAAACGATGAGATAGGGTCAACATTTAGATCAGATCTAGGAATGTGTTAACAGATTCATTCATATGTGCAATCAGATGCCCTCATCTGTGCATGCAGATGATCCCTCAGTTTGACATCCTCACTTGAATTGCCATCTAAACGATAAGCTGGACTGTCTATGCTCAGTTTAACACCCTCATTGGAATTGCCATCTAAATGATTGGCCGAACTAGAATTGCCATCTAAACGATAGGCCGGACCATCTGTGCGCACAGATGGTCCAATATTCACTGTATAATTATCTTATTACCCCTAGACTTCACTCAAAGCCTATAATAGTCATTGGAAATGAAAGGTTTACCCCTGATGAGGTTAAAAGCTATAATTTAATGTAGTAAATAACTATTTTACCCTTTTGGGGTTTTAAACCATTGTTTAACCACAGTAAATGATAATTATACCCCTATGGACACTAGAACCATTATAGTGGAGTGAAATGACCATAAAACCCCTGTGAGTCCTCAAGTTCGGGTAAGGACTCGGTTAACGATCCGGATCCCCGGATTTGGGTCGTTACATATAGATATAGAGAGAGAAAGAGGAAGAAACTAAAGAGAGAATGCCAAAAATGGGAAAGGAAGACGAAAGGTGGTTTGTCTTCCAAAGGAAGGAGTGGTCCTCCTCATGCCACTTGTCAAAATCGTGTGGATTACTAACTTATGGTTAAGTTACTAATATGCCCTCACTCATCCAATATAATGCCATCCATATCCCATAAATAACTCCTCAATATATACTTACATATATATGTATATGTGTGTGAAATGTCTACAATAACCCTCACTTAAAATGAGAAAACCAAGAAAAGTTCACGAATCCGAAAATCGTCCCGATATCTGAAAAATTCTAAAAATAATCCCGTCACTTCTAATTGACTTAAAATAATAAAAAATGCATTTCTAAAACTCTCAGCTGGAGAAATGACCTAAACGGCCCTCGGGGCCCACGTGGCACATAAAACGATGCATGAAAATTAAATTAAATAAATTCTAAAGAAATCCAAAAAAATCCGGGACATTACAGTTTTGGGAGAGAGGAATTGGAGATACCACCAACGTGTACGTGGACATGTTGTGGAGGTTGCTAGATTTACTTGATTCCAAATTGTAGATGTTGCAAGCCTTTGTTTGTAATATGCTTTGGCTTTTATGCAATTTGGTCTTTGCTAGATCTATTTGTTATGCTCCAGACAATCCTTAGCTGCTAAAAGACAAATACAAATATGAATAGGAATGTGGACAAGAGCAACATCCTGCAAAAGATGACTTCTGGACAGCGCTGCAAGAGCATTAGCCACCTCATTACCATGCCTTGGAACATGACTAAGACGGGAGGAGGAGAAATCTCAAAGCGCCACATGCCTTGGAACATGGTAGGAAATAGCCTGAATATCCAAAGGTCCAAATTCAACATTCAAAACAACATTCACCACCGTCAACGAATTGGATTCAAACCAAACCTTAGAGAATTGAAAGGACAATGCCTAAAAAACAGCCTTACGAAGGCATACAACTTCAGCCACAGTCGCATTCGAAGTCGTAAACAGACTGAAAATCACTGCCTTCAAGATCGCCCCTGATGAGTCACGAAAAACGGCACCTTCACCTCCCATTTGGGTATAGGAAGAAAAAGAGGCGTCCACATTACATCTAATCATATTTGGAAGCGAAGGCATCCATCGAGAAAGGGGAGGAGAGGAGGAAGGCGGGAAAACCTAAATCCTTTCCCGTGGCAAAAACAACGGCGATGACAGAGATACCTCAAACTCCTAGAAAAAGGCCCCCAACAGTCCTACCACCCGGTGAGCATCCCAAATCTCCCCAGAAAAGTTTTTTTAATCCAATGGTAGAACCTCCCTATCCTCTAAAAGTTGTGAAAGAAATAAATAATATTTTGAATTGTGACAATTGTTGTCAGGGAGTTGGACAGGGCAAAGGCAAGACCAAAGCCAGACTGGATTTCAAGATCGCTGGAAGTCTCATATAGTGAGATTTTTATCTCTGTCAGTTTTGAAGTTAAGGAGAGTATTATTTTTCTATAATAATTATTCACCGCCTAGTTTTGCAAATAAGCAAGTAATTGACATCCGTATTCTAGGTGGACTCCGTGTTTCGTACACGTAGTATCCACACACACACACACAAACACATATATATCTTTTATTAATTTTCTAAAAACTAAAAATAAAATAATAGTTCTCTTGAACAAAACTACTCTAAGCTGAAAAGTGAGAAAATGGCCACTACATTTCACATATGTTTTCTTCTTCCATACATCCATACATTATTACCATACGTTTCGCGTTAAAAAAAAAATAATAAAAAGATGTATAGAAATAAAAATAAAAAATAAAAATAAAAAATAAAAGAGAAGTTACACACATGCACCGGGGCATACCTTAGGAGGCTCGCAAGAAAAAAAAAAACATAGGCCACTAACCCAAGAGATCACAAATAAAACCACAGGCAAACAAAGCACTAGAACAGTTAATACTACGGGATGCATGCAACGTCTATTCTATTTTTCTTTTTTTTTTTCCCCCCAAACAGGTTCAAAATTTTCCTTTCGAGAAATTTGTTTTTATTAAGGAACAAACACACTGGAATATTACTTCAATTTTCTACCATCAGTTATAAAATTATTAACTTAAAAATTCTGTCAATTCAATATGAATTTTTTTAGCTTTGTCAAACAAGGGAAGATAAAGATGGTGGAAAGTTCAAGGAAACATAAAGAGCAACCTGCTAAATTTATGAAAAATGCAGTATTCCAAGAGAACAAATTGATTATATACATGCATAAGGTGTATCTTATATACCAGAACACACACGAACACACATAAAATATACAAACATAATCGGCACCAAAGGACTGTAGCTAGTAGTACTACTTTCTGACCTTAAAGTGATAGTACAGCTGGGGTATTTATCACACGGTATATCATTTTATTCCAAGGAACAAGACTAGAGAAGCAATTAGATATAATAACATTCAAAATGATAATGCAGGCCAATTGCAAGAGCTTAAGATTGTATCTTCAAGGAAAAGACGGGCTGAAAGATTTCTGTATGTAGCTTCAGAATCATTTCCACCTCAATACCATCAATAATTAACAGCTTGCCTGTTCAAAATGATAAAACACCTTTTTAAATTATGAGAAAAGATAATAAAATAAAAAATAAAAACAACAGTAAAACAATAACAAGAACAGAACAAAAACAAAAAACAAATTTGACAAACTCAATATTAATTACCTGCAAGAAGTATTCAAAAGCTCTTTTGACAACATGAGATCACTTTGTAGCAAGAAGATTCGGCAAATTTTGGCCAATTGATAACCCTCAATCACCTAATTCTGCACCAGCCTCCCAACTCCCATTTCAGCAAAAGCGCCCACATGTTTTTGCTGAGACAGCCATAGGGTCCTGATCGCATTGCAGATACGCTAGTCGCACAAGAATCCATACGCATCATGTTATCAACCACACAATGTCATTTACAGGTATTAATCCCATCACCGAATACACATTTTCATACTAGACTGAACAGCATTGAGTAATCCCCAGTTCTCCTTACCAGAAGCAAATAATAAAGACAATTATGACTTGCCATATCAAAAAGTGCAAATGTTATTCACAGCGACTAAACAACGTGAAACACAATTGACCAATAGAAGATGTCTCTTATTATTGTCTATTGGCAACTTTTAAAAAAAATAAATTTATCTGCAACTAAATAGAAAAACATACCCCAAAAAATAATTGGACAAAATTAAGACTAATTAATTAGCATGGACAAAAAATAAAGGTTCAGATGCTGGAGATACAAAACTGCTTAATGTACACTTTTCCCAAGGCATAATACATACAAAGCGTGTTCCTCATATAGGTTTATCTCAGAAGACCAGGGAGAAAATTTACTATCCACTATGTACGTAAAGAAATTAATGGCTTGATTTATATGGAAGGAGAAAAACTAAAAGAAAATTGTTGAGGCAAGATTTTATGTATCTTGTTTTTATGTCATCTTCCGCAATATCAAATGATCTTCGAGTTTTCTGGGCAGCCACCAGTTTTCACAGACGCAGTTCTCATATAATGGATTCAACTCAGCTTAACATTCCTCGATAGGAATCTGCAAAAAAATTTATTCTCAAGAGCAAAAAATATCCAGAGAATATTGAAGGCCGAAGCGGCAACATACCACTAGGGGATAACGAACTCGTTTTTCACTCCAATGCACTGGCTCTCATCCATTAGGGGAGGAAAACTACTTGATTCCTGTTGAGAAGCCTTGTCTCGGGGGAAAACCAGTCTGTCGCACCTTATAAGGTTTCTCATTACTGAAATTTCTGTTGTTAGATGGTCCCGATCCAAGAATTCCCATTGAGTTTGGGTCAGGTATACGGGCACCATTATTCGTAGGTCTTTGATATGAGGGATCAACATGGGAATGAGGATCAGCTTCAGCTCTTCTCCTTCGCTTCCATGCTTCAAATTTTCCTGTATCATAACCCCTGTGAACTAATACTGATGTCTCTAAGGAGGTCTCATTTTTGCAACCTCTTGGAAGCACTCCTGCCTCCTCCTTCTCCTGTTTAAGCTTTGAATAAATCTGTTGAAGCCTCTCCCCAGACATATTTGAAAAGGTCGAGACGTAATTCCACAAACGTGTAGTCATCCCTGTAAAAAAACAACAACCTTTTCATCCTAGTATACTTCACACAGCTTTGAGTTTGATACATTATTCACACATCTAAAGGTCAGCGGAATTCACAAAAAAAAATAAAAAGAAAAAAGAAAAAAAGAAAAGAAAGAAAGAAAAAAGAGCAATGTTAAGAACATATTCGAAACAACATTATTCATATGAAAACACACACACACACACACAATTACCAACAAACATATGCATACATGCATGCCTGTGCATATTAAAATGCAGCAGCAGAACATTATGGAAACATGGCAAGCAAACACACAATTAACAATGCAACATGTACGTGCACGGAAGAGAGAGAGAGAGTCGCGAAAATAGAAAAATCACAATGATATGGAGAAAGACATACGTTCTTGCTTATATGGTTCCTCCTCGTGTTCTAGAACAATTTGGTCAATCTTTCGTCCGAGAAGCTGTAAATAATTTCTAATTTTGGAAAGAACCTGAAAAAATCAATAGTTGAAGGAAACAACTTAGTACAACATCAAGTAAGACTACAAGAAAACAGGAAACAAAGTGCTAAGATAAACCTTTTCTTTGGGGAGATCAGCACTGGTAGTCTGCAACCTGTGAAGACGTCTGAGTGTTTTTTCCTCACCAACCATGACATCTTCACACCATTCCATCCATTTCACTTCTTTGAACTGCTCATACACTTCTTCAGTATCTGACATTTCACCTTCTTCTTTAACTAAAGGGTCAACTCTCTGGGGTTTAGGAGCTCTCGCCTTGTTCATTTGGAAATTAAGTTTAGGAGAACCTGGTTTCCCTTGCTTGCCCTTGCTGCGAGACATTGGGATGTTCAAAAGATTTTCCTTCTGTTTCTTAGAAGCCTTGCGGCCCACTTTCGCATTTGAAGTGCTCCCACCTATGGCCACAAGTTCCTGTAACAAGTAGGCAGCAATTTACATAAGTTTCAGTCATGGATTCATAGTCTCTAGCTCCCATTTTTTTGTTTTATTGGATGAGGTCAATCCAGATAGAGATGTTGATCCTTGAAAGGATTGCAGAGTCAAAAAATAGCAAAAGCTCTTTACCAAATCCCAACATTCCTCGAAAAGAATACATTGAAAGCCATATGGACATGGGGTCACAGTTATCAAGGTCAAAAGAATCTTTCTTGTTTTATTACAAAGGATCTTTCAGACCATTATATCTTCCACCTTCCAAATGCAAATCAACCCTAGCTGTTTATTACAAGTCTCTCTCTCTCTCTCTTAGCCTTCAAGACTGAAGCAAGAAAGTTCTAATTTTCTGCCCTTTCGTCTCAACTCATAAGCCTAAAAAGCAACTATGTTGTCCCATACTTCACAGACTTAAATCACTTTACATTTGGATTTTTATTGCAACTGATTATTTCCTCATTCCCTAGCCAAAATTTCCTTTAAATAACACTATTTACTACAGTTACATGATCATCTGCCCTTAGCAACTATAGTTCCTCAAATTTCCAACCTCTCAAATGAAATTGTGTTCCAGATTTGAACAAAGGTCTTGGCACAGAAACACTTATGGTTGGTTTTGACACAGTTTTATTAAAGAATTATCATACAAGCACATTTGGAAATTTGAAAGATATGACCCATGTGATACAACTTCATTTCAATTTTAAGGTAGGATGGTCCAATGTAGGTCTCAGCAATTGATACATAATTGGAAAACATGCCATCACGTGTAGATCTTAGCAGTTAATACATAATTGGAAAACAAGTCATCACAGTTGAAAACAGGGGCGGGTCACAAATTGAATTTTCATGTACATTTCCAACTAAAGGATGCACTCTCTGAGATAGCCATTAACAAGCGATCCTATATAATTGACATAAAACCAACCCATCCTTCTGTCATCCCAAACAACACCACCATCAACCCCCCCCCCCCCCCCCCCCCCCCCCAAGAAATAAATAAAAAAATAAAATGGCTTTATTATCCCAACTCTTAACCAACAAAGCAAGACATGAAGAAGTCTATGTCCATCAGTCCTATCTTTGCAACTAGAACGGTTGCAGGCCATAAAGCCTAGCCATCATGCAGAACAGTTTCTTGATGAATGTTATTGGTTTATTTTCAAATTTAACTATCCCTGAGAAAATACAGTAGGAACTCATAAAAGTCTGACTATTTTTTTTCTTGCAACCCCGCATATCATCTGAATGTTCCATTGGCACGTAAATGTTTCTCTCAAGTACTTTTAATTCATGAAAACCCAATAAATCAATAGGCTTAATTTCTCCATAGATAGTAACCAAATTCATTAGATTCCCGATTCGACTATCCAATCTAACGACAAGCAGTACCGGGTATTTTCTGTTTAGATAGTAATGGGTCACTCCTACAGCACGTCCTTGTACATGCTATTGCTTTAGGTTTACATACAACTATATTGATCTTAGTAAAAGGTGCTTTAAGTTCCACTGCCAATACTTTTGCAATAGGCAAAGCAGTGTTTAAGAAGCGGTTTTATAAATTACTTTAAGTTCTAAACAGAAGTTTCCCGCTAAGCTTAGGAAAATAACCAACCATAAAACCCAAAGTGTGCTTGGAATGCAAGTATGTAAATCATATTGTTGGGGGAGGGAAGGAAGATGAGAAAACTTAAAATGTGAATATGCAACTCTCTAGCATAAGCAAATTATAATACAAATTATACCAACCATTTCTAAAAGTTGAGAAGCCCTGTCATTCAAGTTAGGTGCCCGTGGTAGAAAGGTTTCATGATGTTGAAGTTCCACCGGAGCAATTTTCTTTGTTAAACCAAGTCTCTCATCCAATCTTATCTTTTCCCAATTGCCAAATCCATGGTAGTGGATTCCCAGAAGCAACTTCGCATCATCCTCTAATAAACAATAATAACAGGGAAATATATAATGTTTCCATGCGCACCAAGAAAAAGTGTATAATTTTTTAAATGAATAGAAAATACAAAGAGAAGGGAGTAAAACTTACTCTGGTTCCACCCACAACCTTTGGACCAAGTTGCAGGTTTCAGGTACATCAATGCTCGAAATTGTGAGATCGGATCATCATAGCGACTAATACGCTTTGCTAGGAGTTGAAGTTCTTCAACGCGGCTCAGTAGGTCATTAGCCCTTACAGGGACACCAAAAAAATCCAATAGAGGCCCCTAAAGGCAATAATGACAATATCCAAATGTTAGCATATGAAGGCTCCATGGTGGACACAACAGACAGAAGCCATAATAATCACACTAAAACAAAAAAATTCCCTCATTACAAGTGATTTGAAACACAACCTTTGGATCTAAATTTCTTCCTTTAACTGCTTCTCTACAACCATCAATCAAAGCATCAAAAAGCTCAATCTGTGCTTCTGTTGGAGCAGTTTCAACAGCCCCACCAACCTCTGCAGCAACTAAGCCAATTTGGCTCTGATTCCCAAACTTCTTAACCTAAATTTAAGGATACCAGAGAAAATATTATACAGAAGAGATGCTATGAAAAAATAAAAAATAAATAAAAAATAAAAAATTATAGAAAGATTGCATGACATGGTTCTAAGTGTAGCCAACTTTTTGTCACAACAACAAGACTTGAAACTTAAAAGAGATGACAACAATTAAAACAAGAAAACTCAAAACCATTAGTCCCAAACTCTGGCCATATTTATTAGCATTCATTGAAAACTAGGTTTGTTCACATCACATTGCAACTTAAGGGTACCACAAGGAGGATTGAAAGAGATGATTTGTTAAGAAACTGCCAAGTGTGTGTGTGTGTGTGTGTGTGTGTGTATTTTTCCATGCACTCATGACATGATTTCAAATGTGCAAAATTTATTACAAGAAGAAAAAGAAACAACTCCATCATAAACAGAACTTTTAAATATATCAAACTATACCGTGACGATAACACAACACGGTAAAAATTGTATTATTCAAGCTAGGCTTGTCAAACAATTGAGCTTTGGACCTAAGCTGAAGTTTGCTTTGGTCTAATTGGTGAGAATTTTTGAAGGGCTTCTTTAAAAGTTGAAGTCAGAGCTTTTTAGGAATGGTGAGGTTCATTGAAGCCTAATAGCCAAGATAACCAAAAGAAAATATATGGTAAAAGAAAGAATGTTAAGTAGAATTGATAAAGAATGAGACATGACCCATACATGTGAGTTGCACATTACTCTCACCTATACTTGGAAAAGGAGAAGGGAAAGATAGATTTTAGTGTTCTCATATTTATTTTAGGAATTATGAAAATTAAGAGTAGTTTCTTATTTTTGGCATTTGCATACTTTGGCAGTATTTCCTTTTAATTACTCCCTCTGTCCCAAAATACATAAGTAAGGCCTTATGTATTAGGGAAAATATACTAGAGCATCTCCTCACTAAAAGAACATAGAAATTTTTATAATGCAAGTTTACAGTTACGAATACCAAATATATGTGTGTTATACAATAGAAACTAAAGAAGTCCTTCTCTGTACCCTGATCTTAGTATTTGTCGCCCATTTGCAGGCTAAGATGGGGTGATATTGAAGCTAGCGGTCCTGCAAACGTCCGCAGAACCACCAAAAGCTGGCATGGATGGGATGTCTTCCCTTGAGGGCGAGATCCAGATTATGGAGGGGGGTCATTGTGTATCGGTACAGGGAGGGAGATGGAGGGTGGACGACTAGGGAGGTGAGATCTCTAGCGGGTGTGGGCATTTGGAAGCTAATTCGGAAGAGTTCGGATGAGTTTTCCAAACGCGTCCGGTTCAGAGTCCGGAGTGGGAGACACGTTAGCTTTTGGGAGGATTGCTAATGCAGGGACTTTGTTCTGGCCTGTCGGTTTCCTCCGATTTTCAGGATTTCTATGGGCAGATGTGCTCGGGTTGCTTACTATTATCGGCTTAATAACGAGCGGATAACACATGCAGTTTCATAGAGAGTTTCATATGGAGGTCACTGAATTCTTATGGAGGCCGCTGAATTCTTATCTTTGCTCTACGGCAAGTTGCTGAAGGGTGTGGTTATGGATGAGATGGTGTGGGTGGGAACCCCGAGAGGGGTTTTTGAGGTTAGGTCATTCAAACGGAGACCCCAAGTCCCACCTTCCCTTGGAATGCAATTTAGAGGACGAAAGCCCCTTCGAATGTGGCTTTTTTTACTTGGTATGCTACCATTGGACAATCTCAGAAGGAGAAGACGGTTTGTGGTGAACTGGTGTTGTATGTGTAAGAAGACGGGGGAATCAGTGAATCACCTTCTTCTTCATTGTCCTCATGTTTAGTCTATGTTCTTGGTTGCGTTTGGCATGTTTTGTTTGAGTGTTCCACGGTAGATATGATAGAGGCTTGAAGAGGGTGTATAGTGGAGAGCCGACCCATAGATACTTAGAGGGCTACTCCCCTGGGTTTACGGTGGCGCTTGTGTAGCAAGAGATATAGGTGATCCTTCGATGGAGAGAAAAGTCCTATTTTTTTTTATTTTCTTGTTAATGGGCATAATTGTAAATCTTTACGACATCTTTCCGATTTTGTGGAGAGCTTGAAATTATAGTGTTTCCTTTGGTGCCTTGTGTTTTCTTTTGGGAGTTCTCCCCTATTAAATGCCTCTCTTTTTTTTTTTTTTTTTTTTGATAAATAATATTGTATATAATGAAGCATCGAAAAGGGGAACGTATCCCTCAAAAGCTACACAAAGCCCGAATAGGGCCTCTAATCTCTCAAAGAGTAAAAAGTCAACTATTTCATCCAATGATTAACAATTTCTCTAGAACTCAACAAAAAAGAGAAATAATAATGGAGAACTTCAGCACACCAATAGAAATCTCCTTCCCTTCAAAGGATCTCCTATTTCTTTCAAGCCATAACACCACTAGACGCAATGACCCACCAGAAATCACGAACTTGGGCCCCCACCATACAACCTCTCCAAACCTCAATCAATCCTTTAGAAGATCTGGGCATAACCCACCGAACCCCAAAAAATTCCTAACATCAAAGCCCAGCAATCCCCAGCCAATAGATGATGTAAAAAGAGATGATTAACCATTTCCTCGTCTCTTACACGTACAACAGCAACTGGCCACAACTTGTCTCCTTTTAAGATTATCCTGGGTCAAGATCTTCCCCAACACAAATGTCCAAACAAAAAAAAACCACCTTGGGGGGGGGGGGGGGGGGGGGGGGGGGCCTTAAAACGCCAAATAATCGTCCACGGGAATGCATCTCCTGAACAATCCGTAAGACATCTAAAGAATGACCGAACCGAAAAATGAACCTTCGAAGAGGGGACCCACGCCATAGAGTCGAGGGCGCCACTCACAAACTCTTGGCGATACAGCAACTCCAGAAAAATAACAACTTCCTCTATATCCCAATCCTGAAAATGTCTGGAAAAACGTGTTCTTCCACTATCAAGACGATAGCAGTCTGGTGTGTCTGTCTGTGGCAATCCTGAAGAGTGTGGGAAAGGAGGGAGCAAGAGACCGCTCCCCACACCAGACATCCTCCCAAAACCAAATTATACTACCATATTTGACTCGGAATTTAATATATAATTAGAAAATTCATCTCATCCCTTTCTGATGAATTTCCACACACCAACACCACTAGGACTTCTCACCTCAGGCGAACACCAACCACCTCTGTCCTCCCCAAATCTACTCACAATCACCATCCTCCACAATTTGTGCTCCATCCCAAACCTCCATAACCACTTCCCCAAAAGCGCCTTATTAAAAGGAACCAGCTTTCTAATACCCAAACCACCCTTCCTAATCAAACAACACACTTGCTCCCAATTAACCAAACGATATTTGACGTCCTCCCCCTTCCCTCCCCAAAGAAAGTTCCGTTGTAATCTCTCTATCGAGTCTATCCTTTCGAGACATACTGCTTTTTCCAACCCACCAACCATATCTCAAACCTCTCGACCACAGGATCCAAATTTCCCACTCTCCTCACGGTGCCCCGAGAGAAAGCCCCCAGGAAGAGATAGGGAAGGAGCCAATGAATCTTACTCATCAAAAAATAAAAATAAAAATAAAAAATAAAAAAAAAATGTACTAGTCGTGAATAACAAAGTGAAAGCAAAGATAACAAATATCAAGCATCTCGTGTCCCCTTCCTAATTTTACCCACTACTCTGTTACACTTTAAGTCTTCAACAGCTCAAAAATTGGAGCAAATGCAAAACAAATCCAGTAGGCAGGGGAGACGAGAGAAATTCCAAATTCCAAGTATGAATTACCACTTTTTAAATTGAGCATAGTGCATAAGACTATAATTGGCAGAAATCTGGACATCATATCTTTGAGGTCTTAGAATACATGATCTAAGGTAATAGAATGAAGCACCACAACAATTTAGAAAGCTAATATTGTGAATAACTCGTTCTAACATACCCCCATTACAAATTATAGAAAATAATAAGGGTCAATATCTTATAAGATGAATAATCCAATCTTGTTTTACATGGACTCTTCAAAAGTAGTGAAATACCTACGTCGGACACATATATCTAGGACAATGGTATGGGATATCTGTCTGACATTTTTGGTTGGACACGTATTTAAAAAGCATATCCAATCACTCAATTTTATAATATTATTACTTTAAAATGAGTTAAATGCCTACATTGAACACTATGTTACATAAAAACATTACTTTACTCTAGAAAATAAAATAAAATACAATAATTAAATAAAATAAATATTTAGTAGTGTCCATGTGTCCTTCTGTTTGGAGAGCAATACATGAGAATATATATATATATATAATGCATGATACCTACGATAAATACTTTCTTAGCATTTACTATAATTATTCCAAAGGAACAATAATTTTTTAAAATGAAAAATATATATAAATAATTTGCTTTCTCAAGCCTCCTTTTGTTAGGACATTCATTGGTTGGTACATAAATTACATAACTGGAGTTTATAACTCAAACAACATGTCTTTAGTGTGTTGTCCTGGGTATATGAACTTAAGTTTAAGAGAGTCATGGTAGACGTAGCTTGAAACTACAAGTACAAAGTGGTGATTGGAAGCTGGGAAAGGAAGTTGCTTGGAAACTCATGCTGTAGTTCCTCAGAGAACTTAGGTTCTAGGTGGAAATTTTAGTTAGATACTTGAAAAAAAGGTAGGATTGATTTTTTAAAAAAATATTAGAACAAGTTAGACATGTGAAGAACAAAAAATTAATAAAGATTTGAATTGGAAAAGTTGCAAATATTACTAAGCGTGCAAGGAAGTTGCCCTTGTTCAACTCTGATTTTGCACGAGTAAAACTTGGTCCAGTAAATTAGAAAAAAATAAAAATAATAAATTGGTCCAGTAATATCTGCATTGGTCCAACTTTGTACTTTAACTGGTCCAACATACTCCAGTGACCTCTGAACCAGTACAAAAGGACAGTTCAACTGGATCAATTGTTAAGCAGCAAGTTATTGACCAATTCTAAAAGTATTAACCAGTATAAACCTGGACCTGTACAAAGACTTTCCAACCGGAACATTTTAAAAGACCAACCATACAACTGTTGACAGAAACAATTCAACTCATCAAACTTGTCTGGCGGACAAACTGTGGGTTTCCCAATTCAAATGAAACTTAACAAGAATAATTCAACTAGGACTCGTACAGTATACATTACATATATATGATTCCTAGACGAAAGAAGATAGAGAAAAACTGATATTCACGTTCTTGAGAGAGAAGAAAAATCAGGGGCAGTTTAACAACTTTCTTCGTATCACTTCACTCTTATGCTTTAGATGATCATATAGTTAGGGAATTAGATTGTCCATCAGCTTTCTACTATGTGCGATCTTCACCTAAAGCATGGAATTGTGTTTGAAGTATCAATAAAGCTTGTGCATCAGCCACATATCAGTCTTCGTTTTGGAGAACGGAAAGCATACTCATGAAATTTATTGTTACTCTATGATGTAGCAGACCACTAGAGGAGAAGTGGGTCGCCCAGGAGGTGATTTGCAATAATGTTTAAGAAGCGGGCTCGTGATTCAGAAGGGAGTGGAGTATGGACTTGCTGTTGTAACGTTGAAACTTGGAGGGGTGAAGCACTAGCAAGGGATTTTTTTATAGTCTGATCACTCGTAAGAGAAGTACTACTCTTTTTCTTCATAGGGGATTTGAGTTCTCTAGAATAGGTCCCATTATTACTGTTTTGAAGTGTATGTTTGATTGTGCAATTTTTTGGATTGTTTAATTGTCAAAACCAACCAAAATGTAATCTAAATACTATCCAACCTATTCACCACCACTCCTCTAGGTCTATCTAAATATAATTCAGAAAAACTCAAAACCTTCTGCTACACAGCTCCCACCTTACCCGCACGCTATTTCCATATTTAAGGATGACCATTGAAGCTTGTCACTGTAGGCAAAATCTTTCAGTAACTCGAAAGATGCAAGTTAAAGTTTGAAAGCTAAATGACGAGGTGATACATCACGAGATGCATACTGTTAAAACAAAAATAAACCATACTGTACAATTTGTTGCCAAAGTCGGGTATTTGATTCTTTTTTTCTATTTTCAAATATAAATTGGATTATATTTTTAAAGCAAAGCTCTCTTTAGCTTAAAAAGATTCAAGCCAGCAGGATGATGAACCAGCCATAGGTCAGATGAATGAAGCAGAATAATTGCTATTTCTAAAATGTGTTGGATTTAGCTTGAAACTAAACAGCAAAATTGCTTTCCCAAGCCACTATTATTGCCAAAAAACTACAGCTCTTGTTACAATTTGTAATAATTTAGCAAGATTATCATTCTACATATATAGAAGTATAACATCAAGTTGCATTTTTATATTTATGTCCAACCGCGTGACCCAGAAGTAGAAACGACGACCAGACATCCCACCCGCTTGAGCAAAATGATACCCAGGTCAGTCTGCTATGCGGATGTATCCGTGATGAAGGATAGGATCACCTACTTTTGTGGGTTTTTAGCGCCTTTCCCTTTAGTAAAAAGATACATACATACATATATATATTATTGAACTTGCTGAATAGGTAAATGAGCCTAACACATCCCTTATATCCTTTTTCACAATGAGAATTGAGAACATTTATATATAACAAAGATTCAAATTTTAATAGTTCACCTAAAAAATATATATGTATATATACATAGATAGATAGAGAGAGAGAGAGAGAGATGGGGAGTGGAATGATTCAACAAGAAATTGGGGCAAAGGCATGGAAACTCATAACATTAGTGAAACCAAATAAAGATTGATCTTCTATGCAATCTATATACGCGTCGCATAAGCCTGCATGTTAACAAAGGCTATCATAATGCATGAAATCAAATGAAATGCAAACGAGACAGGACACTTACTGCACGGAAAAAGCGTGAAGCGTCTCTTTTTGACAAGTTCCCATATGACCATCTTCTTACTTGAGCAGCAGCTCCATCAATTGCTGGCACTGAATAGCCTGAATAATCTGCTTTGCGGCGCTTCTGGACTCTCTCCTGAGAATCAACTCCCTTCTTTTTCCTTTTATTAATTCTCTCAGATTGGTTAGCCTCTGCATAACTCTTGATGTTTCTTGCAGCTCGGGGAGCTAAAGCTTCCTAAAGAGGGAAGAACGTAATAAACATGCAGACGCCAAAAGTTCTTAAAAAGTAGAATTAATATGGGAAAAGAAAATCATAATAGAGGGAATGTAGTTACATGAATTTCATAGTCAAACTCTATTACAATCTAGTTCATGCATTTCATAATTGAACTCTGTTAAAATATTAGGTACATACTTCAGCTTGGGCTACAGCGTCAGGTTTTATCCAGCGACTCCAAAAACTTCCGTCGTCTTCAGCACTACCGAAATTGGCAACCTAACATAGTGACAAAAGAAGAAAGGAAGACAGCTCATATAAAAGATTTAGAGAGACCTATGCATAACGCAGGAGCATAAAAAAATAAAATAAAAATAAAAATAAAAATAAAAGGTAAAGGGAAAAAATAACAACAAGAATCACCCCAAAATAGTTAAGATGTTATATATTTACCTTAAAAGCACTCAACAATTCATTCCCTTCCTCTCCCTCAGGTACCTTCTCCTCAACCTTCTCTGCTCTTTCAAGAATTTCATCAATATCCATACTTAAAAGCCTCTTCTTACTTTCTTCATCATTTTTGTCTTCCTTGAAAAGTTCCTCTGCCCCAAACCTCAAGATAGCTGATAACTCATTCTGTAATCATGAAAAGCAAATTTTAGAGGACAAAAGCTGCTTTTTAATATCAAAACTAAAATATAACGACGACAGAATTAATTGAAAAAAATAAATGTTCAATTCTAAGGAAAATGTTAAATTTTATACGAAAAATACTTTTTTCATATCAAAATAACACAACAATATAATTAATCCTTAAAAAAATTTGTTGACGACAATTACAAAGATGATGAATTTCATTTACAAAATGGACCAAACCAATAGCTTTAATATTCAAACAGATTCTGAGGTCCAATTACCTAAAAAAATTGCAGATAATTACATAATTATTTTACTTAACATCCTTACCTTGTCGAAGGAACTTCCTTTTTTTGCTTCTTTCTTCTCCAATCTACCCTCAGCATTTAGTTTTTGAATCACCAAATGGTCAAGAACCTATCAAGGACACATGAGAACATAAGAAAAACCATACATATATTCAGCATGGATGCATACATACAAATCCATCAGGCCAATGAATGCGTGCAAATAGCTAAATATACACAAGTACCATATAAAAATGTGCAATTAGTCTAAGATGTAGCGATGCACTTTTAGAAAATGAATATAAATAGACATATATATGGTGATGTTAGAAGACGCCTATCCAGCATGCACATATGTGCATCTCTCTACCAACACAGGTCGATGCACACAATTTAAAAGTGAATGAAATGAAAATTCATATAAAGAGCAACACCATTCAAAAGCATCTGAAGAAAGAGAAAGAGGAAGATAGCTAATAATTATCATACCATCTTCTTCTTAGCACGCTCCAAGATATCTTCCTCAACGCTCTTGCTTGTAACAAATCGATAGATGTTGACAACTTCTTGCTGCCCAATCCTATGAGCTCTGCTCATTGCCTATAACAAAGACATATTATATATATATATATATATCAAAGAAATAAGAACTAAATCACATTTACCAAAAATAAATAAATAAAAATTAAATCTGCAATTGAAAAATAATAATTAAATAATTGTGCAAAAGAAGAAAAAAGGAATCACATTGTCTCAAACCTGCAGGTCATTTTGTGGATTCCAGTCAGAATCAAATATAATCACAGTGTCTGCTGTTGCAAGATTGATGCCTAAGCCACCAGCACGAGTTGAAAGAAGGAAACAGAAATCATCACTACCAGGTGCATTAAAATGTTCCATGGCCTGGTGGCGCATTTCAGCCTTAGTACTACCATCAAGCCTTTGAAATTGGAACCCTCTAATTGACAAATATTCTGCCAATATATCCAACATTCTAACCATCTGCATTAAAATATTATTCAGAGGATGTCAGTGTCACCTTTGCCCACAAAACTCCAATCTTACCCCCGCTCTCATCCATAAAAATATGCCAAAGCAATCATTAAGACGTGTTTTTATTTCATACAAAATAAATAAACATAAAATAGCAAATAATATTTTATGAGGCCCAAGTTGTATAACATAGAGAAAAAATTCCTAAAGGGGGAACAAGGGAACAGACTCAGAACTCTCCTAGATTTCCCCAAAAGGAAAGGACAAAAAACATGCAAGTAAGTCACATAATAACCTAGTGTAATACTCTTCATGCTTTAAACTAAATTTATATAAAATTTGAAAATAAAAACCAATTTTTTTCAAACATGCTGAGCAGAGCAAAGCCAAATCTAATACAAATACAAACTGAGGTATGCTTGAGTAAGGTATTTTTCGCTTATTATAGGTTTTACAAAAATGTTGATTGGGCTGAACAAGTTAAATCCAAATGGAAGCTTTATCCCAAGTAACAAAACTGTGCCCTAATACTTCAATGCTCCGCTCAACTGTATTTGTTTTTCATAGTTCATCTTTATGAACACTTGTCTTATCAGCAAGAGAGGATACTGGCTATAAGAAAATTTAAGAGTTAACCATTGTTGTCGGCTTGGTACAATTTCTATCCAACCATGTATGTTATATTTAAGCTAGCTTCCAAGGTGCAATTTCAGTAAAATGGCTTCAAAACGAACCTGAGAAAAAATCAACACACGATGATTTGTCTCATGCAATCTAACGAGCAGTTTATCAAGTATAACTAGTTTCCCACTGCTTAAAATTATTCGCTCCAGTTTACTGCTACCAGTAATGTCTGCATCCCCACCATATCCATGGTCTGCACTTTCGAATAAAAATGGATGATTGCAACATTTCTTCAACTCTACCACAATATTTAGAAGTGAGACCTGCAAATTTGGCAGTACAGCTGTGTCAAAATCTGTAAATTTTCAGATTGAAGAAATCCATTATTTATCAGAAGTGACGTGCAATTAGCAATTATTGCCAGCATGAATTCACAGAGTTATTCAAGATAGAGCAAACTAAAGTGAAACATCATACAAGAATGTCTGGATTACAATAATAATGATATTGATTATGAAAAGTATATACCAATGACAGAGAAAGGCATCATCGGACTACATCAAAGGGCTGGATAAAAAATATTCATGCCTCAAACACTCAAAAGCACATTGAACTTAGACACTGACCTGATTCCCACGGACTCCTTTATTTAAGTCCTGAAAGTTGCGTTCCAAAATCCATTTATAATACCTAGATGAAATTTAACAGTAACAGGCATGACTAAAATGAACATAACCTGAAGTAGTCCAGAACAACAAAATTATGAAGAGCACATACTGTTTCTGAAGCGGGGACATCTCAACCCTAAGTATACGTTCGATCTTTGGAGGTAGGGACTTCTCAACATCCTTGATAACTCTTCGAAGAATGTGAGGCCTCAGTTCCATATGAAGATTAGCAAGCTAATCAAAAAAACAAATTCATTCAGTTTTAAAGTAGACAAACCAATAACTTATCAAACCAAACCAAGATACATTGAGTAAAAAGCAATGTGCAGAAGTGAGGGAAGTGTAGATGCCATTTATTGTACCTCAATTTCATTAAATGAACTAAGATTCTTGTAATTCTGAACAAACTCATCCTTGCTCCTGAACTTATCAGGATCAAGAAAATGAAGCAGAGCCCTGTTGTTAGAAAGAAGAAAAAGTAAATTTTCAACAGTGAAAAGGTTGAAAATCGCAGCACATCTATAGGTACTATCAGATGAGTTCTAACATGCAGCAAATGCTTGCAATTGTTACGTTTGTAAGGTGTATGAATGAATTCATTTAGCGAACTAATTGTTTTATATATTCGGAAGCAGAAGGAAAGATGTATACACAAAAATTACTGGCTTACAAATAGTTAAAAACAATTAGCCACACCAAAGTGAGCATTTCTTGAGAATCAAGAAGCATATAAAAATTCTTAAAGATCAAAACATCATAAAATTAATAGCAATACACACATATAAGTATAAATAAGCAACTATGGTGAAAATACTGCATAAACTCATTTGATGAAATACGTGGAAGCAGCGCTACGTCATCAAATGCTCAATTTTTCATGTAGAAGAATAAACTAAAATAAAATATATATATATATATATATGGCTTCTCACTAGATGGTATTATCAAATTAGGCAGCATAACCATATAGACACCTGTTTTGTCTATCTAATATATCTATATAATATATATATTTAAGGGCGGGCTTTGGCGTAATGGTAAGGTTGCTCCATTGTGACCTAGAGGTCACGGGTTCGAGACAAGGAAACAGCCTCTCTACATGAGGAGGTAAGGCTGCATACATCTAATCCTCCCCAGACACCACGGGAGCCTCGTTCACTGGGTTTGCCCATTTATATTATTTTTTAATTATGCTGGCAATGCCTTTGTCAATATGCAGGTACCATTCTCTAAAAAATTTATTAATAAAAAAGAAAAAGGAAAAACTTAATAACTTGAATAGACAAAATTGAGTGTGCAGACATGCAATGTTAATAACAAAATCTAACAATTACCATAGTTCTTCAACACTGTTTTGCAACGGAGTACCAGTGATGAGCAACTTGTTTTTCGTGCTAAATTCCTGTGAACACAAACACAGGTTCCAAAACTGACTGCCCATAAAAGAAACACTAAATTAACCTGAAACTAGTCGTAGCAGCGGAAATTTCAGCATACCAAAAGTGTTGTATATAGTGAAGCCTCACTGTTCTTTAGTCTATGGGCTTCATCTACCATAAGATAGTTCCACTTGATTTTGGAGAGCACTGACTTATCCTTCAACAATACCTCATATGTAGTCAAAAGAGCATCAAATTTCATACCCCTTCCTGTTTTTTTGTTAGTGTTAAATTCATACTGCTGACAAACCTGCAACAGAAAGAAAGTTACGAAATTATAATTAAACTTCTAAAATGATGAAAATATCTTAAATAAGATTCAATTAAATTACAAAAGTACTGATTGAGCATTCCCTAGTTGCAACACAAATATGTACTATATGACATCAAGATGCAAAACGGGCCCTCATATAATGACACACTATCAAACGAACAGATCATCTTTCCCCTATAGTGACATGGAAAACTTTTTTACCCGATAATCTTATGGTGACAAGAATTACAGAATGCGAAGTTGATTAGAGCAATTATGTGCACAAATCCATCAGAAAGAAAGCCCTTTACTCGGTGTCTTTATGGGGCACCATTCCCTTATTCCACTAGCCATAACAACTTGGGGTTTCACTAAAGTGCGTTAGGGTCAAACATTTTTTAAAACTTGGCCAGCTCAACTCAGACTAAACATAAATTACTGTTGTTTTGGTCGTAGTTTGTCCTGGGTTTTAAAATCCCCATTTTCAACTTTCCACTCTCATTTTTTAGAATCTTAAGACCAAAATAGAGAAAAAAAACCAAACCCCCACATCCCTACCTAAAAATAGAGCCTTTGTCAACCATTCCATTTTTCTTCGTTCCACTTTTGTTACCCGTATTATTATACTCTTATATGTTGCGGCTTGCTGACATGATTCTGTTCTTTGTTTAAGTTTTATATCCCAAGGAATCTCCTATTGGGATGCTTAAGTTTTCCATCCTCAGTTCTTTGTTTTGTTGGGCTCATGGGAGAAATTGTAAATCTATGAGAGAGTGGATTTTTTTTTTTTTTTCCTTCTTTTTTTTTTTTTTTTTTTGATATTTTGAGAGTTTAAGGGCCCTATTTGGTCCTTGTGTAACTTCTTGGGATGCGCTCAAGCAGTGAGCGCTTTGTGATAATACATTACTTTTCAAAAAAAATAAAAAAATGATTCTGACTAGTGATGACTCAAATGGCGTTAATCTCTTGAAGTCATAGTTGTACCAACAGTTTGAGAAGAAGGATCTCGGTTCTCTCCGCCACCTTGGCATTGAAGTAGCTTATTCTCCTTGAGGATATCTTCTTTCTTTGTCCAAGTACGCAATAGATGTTATTCACAAAGCCCAAGGTGTCCCCATGGCTGATCCTACAATGTAGTGAGTTATAGTTGGCAGTTTAGTGTATCCAACTGTTACACAGAGTGACCTCATCTATGCAGTTCATGTTGTCAGTTAGTTTCTATTTGTAGCTACTACTGTTCACTGGGTTGTCGTTCTCCATGTTTTGCTATCTTCGGGGATGCTAGTTTCTATTTGCAGCTACTACTGTTCACTGGGTTGGGCTTCTCCATATTTTGCCATCTTTGGGGTAATTCCTCTACATCTGCTTTTAAAGCTCTGAGCCTTTTCTGTTGCTTAATGTGCTGGGGATTCCACCTATACAAGTCCACTATTGGCTTTTGTGTCTTTCTAGGAGATTCCTATTTCCTAGAAAAGCAAGAAGCAACCAGTTGTGGCTCACTTTTCTACTGAAGCCAAGTATTGTGCCATGGCTGCTACTACAGCAAAGATAATTTGGCTGCGGTGGTTGCTTGCGGATTTGGGTGTCACTTTTTCTGATCCCACCCCAATTAATCATGATAAAGAAAGTGAAACTCAGATTGCACACAACCGTCTTTCATCAGCATACCAAACACATTGAGATTGATTACCACTTCATGCCATCATCTTCAACTTGGCATTAATTCTTTACCGTTTGTTTCTTCTACTGTGCAGTTGGCTGACTCCTTCACAAAATTTACACCATTATGCGTTTTTGTTTCAATGCTTCTCACTATCACATAAAGAGTTTGACTTGGGGTGTTGGACAGTGATATTTTCTATTTTCTTATGATCTTATATTAAAGGGTAGAGTAGTTTATTACTTTATTCTTCTCTTTCTTATTTACAAAGATTATCCGTTTTGATCGTGTTTCTTAGGCTCTTTTTGTTTAGACATACTCCCTCTGTCCCATATTATTACTCCCTCTTTCTTTTTTGGGATGTCGCAAATTAGTTGCCCTGAAAAGTCAAAGAAAAATAAATGCTATTTTTTTATAATTATCCTCTTTAAGTTTTCAAAAATCTCTAAACTTGGTAATATAAATATTTAAACTCGAAAGGACAACTTCGAAATTTTAAAAGGGGCAATGCGTTAATTGCATATCCCCTTAAAAAGTAATAATACCAAAAAAGGACAACTAAGATGGGACGGGGGAAGTAAAATATTATTTGAATGTTTTCAAATAAAACGATTTTATGCCATAAAAAAATAGCCAAAAATGACTAATGGATAAAATTTTTGTAAATCATTTTACAAATTGAATCTCGACATTACCCAACTACCCGAGCATCAAAACAGAGAAGGTAAGAGAGCTTCAACGAATATGATTGCTACCAGAAACGATTTTCTGTTGCCCAAAAAACCGCCATCCAAATCGAACTCTGTTATTTATAACCATCGTCTGGTTATTGAAGGTGAGGTAGGTTTGGATTTCCCTTTTTAGGACTAGAAAAAATGATAGACAAGAAGAAGATTAGAGAGAGAAGAAGCTGAAGTTAGATTGTGTTTTGCCTAGATCGATAGAGGTGGGAGGAGTGGTATTGTTGTGATTTGTGTTCTCTCGCTTCAAAGAAAGCCCTGATTAACATTTTATATCTAAATGACTCAAGGGTTCAGATTGGACGAACATAGATCAAATGTGTTTTTATTAGGTATTGAGAAATATAATATATACATATAGTTTCTTTTTTGAACATATTTTCAGTATTTATGCCAAACACCGGAAAATATTTGTTAAAAAATGCTTCACCTATTTTACGTCAAAACAAACGGACCATTAGTGTTCAAAACTTACTTTAAAACTAATAAACCTCAGTTCCAAGAAATCATATCTTCTACCAAGACATTCACCCAGTAACCCAGCAGATAAAGTATATTACATATACCAAAGAAAGTGAAAGCCAAATCCTTCATTGAAGTAGAAATGGTTTGGAAAGGAAAGCAAGAATGCTTATCAAGCATCTAGCTGTCGTGTTAGCTCTACTGAATCTAATGATCGAGGCTTTTTCACAACTTGACTCCTTGCCTCTACTGTAGGTGTGCTTCCTAGCCTAGGAGAAGGCTCTCAACAGTACCTCTATAGCTGGATTGATCAGGTGTTGTGCAATCCTCAATTTTGAATCTTTCCTTTCACATCTTGCACATGTCTCGAACCTCTCCCTTTGACTGCCCCGTCATTGGCAAGCCGACTGCTCTACCACTAAGCTACTGAGTGTTAGGATTTGTATATGCCCTACAAAGCCAATGAATGTAAAATGACATTTATTTAATAAAATCTTGTTTATTTATCTTCATATAATATTGATGATACTGTATTGGGAAGATAAAGGAGTTTTGATCTTGGTTGTCCATTATGATAGGATAAATTCATGTGCACAGGAGGTAAAGGAACGTGCACGGGAGATATGAATTCATTGGTATTCGTAATTATAAATATTCGTACTCTAAGGAATAGAACTGGACATTCTATTCCTTGAGTATAACCGTTGGTTTCCAACTTGATAGAAATATTGAGTAGAGTGACTTATCACATTCCGTTTTAATTCATCAACACAATAGGAATGTGTTATCACAACACAATAGGAATGTGTTATCACAACACCTAGGCAAGTCCCAATGCAAGTATGGCAACCATGAGAATGGACTGCCGCAAAAGTAAGCCTAACCTAAAGATCCATGTAATTACAAGTAGCAAAATTAATTTTGAGCCATAAAAACTTTTATTCCATTAGAGGAAATAATACGTTTAATAAGAAGGAAAAGAAGAAATCACTAGACGTTTTGGATGAAAAACATTCAAACAAGGCACAGTCAAAGAAATCTTAAATATGACTCGTCTAATAGCAGATTCAGCTCCAGAAAATATATGTGATAAGCACATGAAAGCTTATAAATGAGATGATTAAACATGTTCAGATTCACTGAACATCAGCTGGAAACAAAGAAAAGCTTCTTATGAGATTATTTAAAACGCTAAAAAAAGGCAGTTTTGGAGCAAAAGTGAAGATGTGGTCCATTAGTGGCACGTTTGGCTCTGTTTAACATAAACACAGAGACACAAGCACACACACTGTTGGTGAGAATAAGCAGGTACATTACATATAGGTTCCATGTCTACCTGGTTCTCCTCATCTTTTACAAGTACATACTGATCCTTTAGCTCCTATATGTAGAAAATAAGAATTACCAGCACTAAATCAAAATCATAGTGCCAGTAAACCTTTTTAATAGTATTGTACTTTTTTTTTCCTTTCGCATCTAGGATCAAACACACACAAGAGAGGAAGCATGGAAAAAGCCTAGCGAAGTGCTTAGCACCTGGTTGCCTAAAACCTATAGCCTAGCTTTGATGAAATACCTAATTATGTAGATGTTTCATAAACACTACTGTAAAACCAAAAAATATCACAGGCCATTCAAGTTGAAACTTGCTTGGCCAAATCACTACAAGCTATACCGTATTTACTAATCAATGCTAATTAGATATACTTTTCTTTCTTAAAAACGTTTAGATTTGTAGAAGAACATCAAATGAAAGGGAATCAATCTTCAGCACAGAATGCAGCTAAATTCGATTATCAAAACAACCAAACCCAATTTCCAAAGAAGTACAAACAGTGAAAAAAAAAAAAAAAGGTCTCAATTTATAACATCAACCTATAACTTCAACATAAATCAAACATAACTACAACCATTATATGTTAATCAGTACATGCACCACAAAGTATGACTAACCTCTCTGCTTGCACGAGTTCCAACATACACAATAACATTCATGTTAGGAAGCCACTTTTTGAATTCCTTGGCCCAATTTGACAAAGTTGATAATGGTACAACAACAAGAAATGGCCCATGAATCTGTTGAGAGTTCTGTAGGAAGAATAAAATGAATGAATCATTAAAAAAGAGGCAAAGATTGCATGTTTATAATCATAGCAGACCAGAAACTGTAAAACTAAACAAGTACCTGTAAAAAACCAAGCATAGAAACTGACTGAACCGTTTTACCAAGACCCATTTCATCTGCTAATATGACATTTGTATCATTTCTCCAACTGTTCTATGAAAAAGATGATAATTAATACAAGTTTGTAGCTCAAACTTATTTAAGGTCCAAATTTTCAAGTAAAAAGTACCAAGATCCAAAGAAAAGAGGCACTATCATACCTGTTAACAAGAAAATTCAAGCCCTCAAGCTGATAGTCCCTAAGTTTTCCGCCTATCAACCATTCAGGTTGCTCATCAAGCTTCCTCAGACTTGCTAAACAGCAATAATATTTAAAGTCAAATTAAAACATATGAATTTGAAGTAAATCACATGAATTTAATAAATAAGACAAGCAAAACAGCAACAAAATGCTGAAATTGAAAAAGAAAAACAGAATGGTATGGTGAATACATTGAGTTGTATATTGTTAAATGATCAAGTCTTCTAATATAACAAACTTTCAAAGGCCCCTCTTAAGGTGGCCTTTCTGTTTGGACGGCAATCCTTGGGTGGATTCTGACTTTAGATTACCTCAGAAGAAGAAGACAGGTGATGATTAAATGTTGCTGTACGTGTTTGAGAGATGAGGAGACGGTTGATCATCTTCTTCTGCATTGTCCCGTGGCCTGGGATTGTTGGAGTCTTCTGCTGGGTCTGTTCCGGATGCAGTGGGTTATGCCTCGTTCCTCGAGAGGCTTCATGGAGGCTTGGAGAGGATGTACAGTGGATGCCCAAGCTAGTGACTTTTGGAGGGTGGCACACTTAAGCTTATGGTGGTGTTTATGGCTTGAACGGAATAGGAGATCCTTTGAGGGTGAGGAGACTCCTATTGGAGCGTCAAAGTTCTCTATTCTTAATTCTATTTTTTGTTGGGTGTTTGGGAGGAATTGTAAATCTATGGCGGAGATACTTTATTTTTTGGACTCGTTGAGAGTTTAGGGGCCCTATTTGGCCTTGTGTAGCTTTTTAGGGATCTGATCCCTGTTTGATGGCTTTCTATTACCTTTTACTTATCAAAAAAAAAAGAAACAAACTAACTTTCAAAAAGTAAAGGCAATTGTAAATCTTAATAATTTTCAAACTAATGATCTAGTAGTTAAGAGAATACTACATATACCTAAAAATATCCCAAACAAGTGGCCCATACCTCCATTAAGAAACATGAATCTATCAATAGAAATGAGAATACAAGAAGAATGACAAGGAGTCCTTTGGAACTGGATATAGAACTAAGATAACAATAACGCTAAATTCTTCAAGAGTACTGCCACCTACTTAGAAAATCTGCAATTCAATGACCTTTAGGATCCTGAAGCAAGGCCAATTTTGACTACAATCTGGGTATCACGAACAGAAATGCTACCTCTGCCAGCCCTAAAATAACACAATAACACAATTGGAGAGGATACAATGTTTTATTGTGCTACCATGCTTCCATTTCCTTTCTAGGACCTGTTAGCAAAACCAGAATCCAAGCTTGATAGCAAACTCCATCCAAGAAGGCAAAGATATATATACATTTCACCTCTGCCATCCCTAAAATACCACCATAACGCAATTGGACAGGAAATAATGTTTAGTGTGCTACCGTGCTTCCATTTCCTTTCTAGATGCTAAAAAGATATCCTTTCCTCATAACACTGGTATTGCCCATGATTCCGAGATGACTGAAATCTCAAAAACAGAAAATGTCTAAAAAAGCTGCTTTTAGCTATGTATGGGGTGGGGTGCATAAGGAAATATCTTCCAAATTGGTTTTAAAGAGAACTTCGAATCACCTCTGTAATTTATCAATTCCATGACATTTTTTATTTATCTACAAAAGCAATCCTGCCTAGTGCCAACCACATAAAGCTTAAACAAGTCCCATCATGCACTTATCAAACAGAAAATGAAAAAATAAACCCTATCATGCACTTATCACAAAAATAAATAAATAAACCCTATCATGCACCTTTTTTTATATATATATAAATAAAGAGTTTATTAGAGAGCGTTCAAACAGGGAACGCATCCCGAAAGTTGTACAAAGAAAGGTCCTAGGGACCCAAGGAACCCAAAAAATTCATGATTTCATCTAAAAATGTACAATTTCTCCCCGTCACCCAACTAAAAATAGAACAACTAATAGTAAATTTCAGCGTCCCAATGGAAGATTCCTCCCCCTCAAAGGATCTTATATTCCGCTCCTTCCAAACACACCACCAAACACAGAGGGAAATACCCTCCAAAATTCCCAAGCGTGGGCCCCCACACTGAAGCCTCTCCAACCGTCAATCAAATCCCTCGATGACCTTGGCATGACCCACTGAACGCCGAACAAACCAAAAATGATACTCCAGCAGGCATAAGCCACGGGGCAACGCAGAAGAATGTGATCCACGGATTCTCCATCATTCTTAGACAGACAACATTAGTTGACTGCGATATGTCTTCTCTTTCTCAAATTGTCCAAGGTCAGAATCTTACCCCAAACTGCAGTCCAGGCAAAGAACGCCACTCTGAGGGGAACCTTTGAACGCCACACCATCTTCACGGGAAAATTCCATGAAATCTAACAAGGCAGAAAAATAAAGAACAGACCTCAAAACTTCTCTGAGGAGACGGCACCCAAATCAAAGAATCAGACACTCTACCATCCACCTCATGTCTATACAACAAATCCAACAAGCCAGAAACATCATCAAGTTCCCAATCCTGAAAGGAACGTCGAAAACGCACATCCCACATATGCAGTTCCACACTCCGACGCCAACAGCAGAAACCAGTTCCAAAGACCGTCCCCCTCTCCTCCCCAAAGCGGCACAAAATAACCCCCCTCCATAAACGATGCCTTTTGCTACCGAATATCCAGAACCACCTACCAAGGAGCGCCCTATTGAAAGGGACCAACCTCCTAATCCCAAGTCCACCCATCTGAAGAGGCCTGCAAAATTGCTCCCACTTGATAAGATGATACTTGAACTCCTCTCCCCGGCCACCCCAAAGAAAGTTCCGTTGGAGACTCTCAAGTCTTTCAGCTATAAAGGAAGGAATCTTGAAGAGAGAGCGAGGAAATAAGTTGGGAGACTCAACAAAGTACTCTTAATAAGAGTAACCTTCCTGCCTTTCGAGAGATACTGCTTCTTCCATCCAGCCAATCTTCCCACCCACCTTGACGAAATACCCAAAGGCGGGCCCAGATAAACAATAGGAAAAGAACTCACCCCACACCCTAGAACCGCGGCATGAGAACTCACCTCCTGTACCCATCTACTGAGCCGAATCTGGAGCCAACCTGAATCCTCTAATAAAACCCAAATCCACTACTCTCCTCATCAACTTGCTAAGGGCCTCCATAACAATAGTGAGCAAAAAAGGGGATCCCCTTGTCTCAAACCTCGAGAACTTCCAAAGAAACCGGAAGGAGCCCCATTCACCAACACATAGAATCTAACTGAAGAAATACAAGCCTTGATCCATCTCCTCCACTTCTCCCAAATCCCATCCTCCCCAACAGATACAAGAGAAAATTCCAGTTAACATGATCATAAGCTTTCTCAATGTCAAGCTTACACAAGACTCCAAGAACCCCACTACTCAGCCTATAGTCCACACATTCACTGGCAATAAGAGAATCCAGAATCTGCCTACCCCCAATAAACGCATTTTGAGACTCTGAGATGACTCTATCCAGAACCTCCCTCAATCTCAAGGCAAGGACTTTAGTAATAAGCTTATAAATACAACCCAGCAGACTTATTGGTCTAAAGTCCTTAACATTTGACACCTCACCCTTCTTAGTGATGAGGGCAATGAAAGATGCATTCAACGACTTTTCGAACCTCCCATTAGAATGAAACTCATGAAAGGCACCCATCACCTCATACCTCACCGCATCCCAACTTTTCAACAAAATACTTATGGTAAATCCGTCCAAACCCGGGGCCTTATCACCGTTGCAACTCTTCAATGCTTTCAACACCACCTCCTCAGAAAAAGGAATTTCCAAGCCATCCCTATCCATCACTGAAATTGAGTCGAAGTGAAGTCCATCAAGTCGAGGTCTGCAATCTAAAGGCTCGGCATAAAGCCTCTGGTAGAAGGAAACAATCCCCTTATGCACCTCTTCCTCCGTAGACAACTCCACTCCATCCACTCTAATCCGCCCAATGTGATTACCCCTTCTGTGGGCATTGGCAAGTCTATGAAAAAACTTCGTATTCCGATCACCCTCTTTTAGCCATAAAACACGAGATCTCCTCCATAACAATATTCTCTGCAATCTCCGCCTGACAAGTTGTTCTACTGTCGCGTTGTCTCTCACCAATACCACCCACCTCTTCCAACCGATCAATCTCGATAATCTCAGCCAGTGCCCAATTATTTCTCCACTCCAAATTCCCAAAGGTCTCCTTATTCCATCTTTTAAGCTCAGTCTTAAGAAAACGAAGCTTTCCAGCCAAAATGAAACTCTGCATACCCACCACCGTGGCCTCCTACCACCAAGCCTGAATTTTCTGCTAAAAATCATTCGCTCTAAGCCACATGTTCTCAAATCTGAAGAGGGTACACCAAGAACGCATTCCTCCACAATCCAAAACTAACGGAATATGATCAGAAGTCACCCTAGCCAAAGTAGCCTGAACAACATCCGGAAACTCCCCTTCCCACTCCCTAGAAATCAAGAATCTGTCCAGTTGGGAAAAAGTGGGTGAATCCCAACTAGGGATGGCAACGGGGGCGGGTGTACCCTCCCCCGCCCCCGCAACCGTTTAAAAACCCCGTCCCCGTCCCCACCCAAAACTGCAAAAACGGGGAAACTTTCCACCCCATCCCCGTAACCGACATTTTTATCCTCGCAGGTACCCGCCCAGCCCCATTTAAGACCACAATTTATTTATTGTTGAAATAGATTTGCTTTTTTTTTTCCCCCCCTCATCTTCAATTTTTCACCATTGCAACTTTCCTTTTAATGAAAGTCATTTATTACTTTAATATTGTTATATAGGGTACTTAGTATATAGTGGGAAATATATATATTAATGAAATAAGAGTACTTAAGTAATTTGCTATCTAAACGGTGCGGGGCGACCTCCCCCCGCCACCGCACTAAACCCGCGCGGGTTTTTACTACATCAAACCATCCCCGCCCAAATAAGCAAAACGGTCTCCTAAAACCGCCAAAAACAGGGCGGGGTGGAGTGGGTAACCGCGGGGGCGGGTCAAATTGCCATCCCTAATCCCGACCGCTGGACCACGTAAGAGCAGCACCCTTTAAAGGAAGGTCGATA